AACAGCTCCTGCCTGCCAAGGCCATGCTTAGATTGACAGAGTCAACAAAAGCACAGATGAAGCAGACTAGGACACATGCAAACTCTTACTGTTGGCTATAGGCCTTCCTTCAGTACAAGAAATCAGAATTTTTGTAATGTGAAGCATCTGAGAGACCACCTGAAATCACTGGAGCTGCAGCTGATTGTCACCACCACTGACCCACCCAACAAAGCATTTTTGCTTAACTTCAAGCACATGTGCTTAACATTTTGTTAATGTGATTAACATTTCCACAAGCACCTGGAATCCTGCTCCTGCACTCTTCACTTTGTGCCCTGGCAACAAAGGGACCTGCAGTCCCTCCCTTCAGGGCACTGACAACCCTCACCAGCTTTGCCTGGCCCCCAGCCCACACTCCCTGCACAGGGCTCCAGGGTCTCCAGCTCTGTCCTTCTTTAGTCTCAGCACCCCAAGCTATACAGTGGAGTGACTCCAGCTCTGGCCCCATGTTGCAGACCAGCAGCAGATCTACACTGTACACAGCACGATACCTGGACGGCTCCCACCTTGCAGCTTCCCTTCCACCTTGTCTTTGGCAATCCCTCCTGGATAGACTTTGAACTCACGTTGTAGCCTTGTCTCCACTCCTGTCTCTGCCCCTGTCCCCTTTTGCTCCTGACTGGATTCTCTGGAGGGATGCTGGACTTGTTTCATTGCTTTGCCTTGTCTGGGACAGTCAATAGATCCTGTTCCCGTGCTCTGCTCAGCTACTGTGGGACTGCATCCTGCTTGGAGAGAGCACTGCCTTTGTGGGGTCAGCCTTGCTCACTGTTCAGGGAATAGGCAGACCCTCCAGCTCCCTGACACTTGGAGGGGTGATTCAGTCAATAAAATCAACCATTTTCCTTGACTTGAATTCACTGGACTTTGGATCAATCCATGGAAAGTTTCATTTAAGACAATGGGAGTATTTGCAGTCTGCAAGATGAGCCCTTCAATCTCTTCACTGAGATTCCCCATGAAGTGCAAAACTTTGAGTGCTCTGCAACAAAAATGAGAAAGCCCAGGCATGCCAGGTACAGTGCAGGGATCCCTATTAACATGTGCTACTTCAACTCCTTTAGAATATGACCATACCTTTCAAAGTGCAGAGAAGGCAAAGGGCCTAAATAAAAAATAAGTCTATTTTCAGCCACAAGAAGAAAGGCTGTTTTATGAGATGAACTTTATACCATTTCTATTTAAAAGACACAGAGTTATTTTAAAGAGATGTAGGACCTCTGTCCTAGAAAACTCCATTCTCTGAGGAAAATCTCTTCTAGTGCAAAGTGCTAAAATCATTCTTCCAGCAAAAAAGACAGGGATGATAAAAAGAAATAGAGACAAGGAAGGGGACACAGTAGAATATGTTATACTGATTATCTATTCACACAGAGGCTATCTCAATATAAGTTTATCAAATGTGACAGTTTTCTGGCTTGATCATGGTCACAGCATTAAATTATCTCAACCTCCAGAACATGGTGACCACAGGGTGACCATGTCAGAACTCCAATTAGAACAGTTCCTGGGCTGTGCCAACCCCTGAACTGTGACTGGGAAAATGTGATTGGTCTACATAAGAACTTTACAGAATCTCTTTCAACAATAAATCCATACAGACAACAAAGTTCAGTGTGAGAAAGGTCCCTGAAATGCATCAGTTCACCTATAGAGCAGTAGCTCCAGCCTGAGGAATTTCTTTACAGTGCAGTCCAGTGGCTGAAATGGTGGAGCCATAACTTTGCTGACTCCTCTCCGTTCCATTTTGAAGCCACAGAAGATTAAGCCTGAAGAATGACATGATAACAGCTGAGACCCCACAGCCCAGAGGATACATGCTCTTCTTTACCTCTCCAGCAGCAAAGTTGGAGGATTTAGTCCATCAGTCCCTCATGTCCTGGCTGGCCACCTGCCTGTCATCAGAACCCAGGTAACCGCAGGCCCCATTGGAGACCACACCTTATGCCCAACCAGAACACAGACTTCTCCTCCAGCAAGGAAAACAAACCAGATGGGTTGGTATATCTGATAGTAACAAGTGCTACATTTGCAAAGGTGTGGACCAACACATTTTAAGGCTCAGTGACCCTTTTAATGGCTTCTCCAAAGTTAATGTGATGACACTAACAAACAATCAGAATTGAACCTGCTGAAATTCTGGTTTTGCACAAATATAACTGGGTATAACATCTTATGTATCTGGGCTTCCTTTGAAAACTGAGGATTAAACTGTTACCTTCTTTAAATTTTGCTTAATGGTTGTACTGTCTCTCTCCACCACCTTCATCATTTCTTGGCTTGCCATGTACAAGATGTTGGCTGCAGAAAAAGAAACAGACAATAATGTAAATACATACCAAAACTGTTAGAAAGAACAATATGGACACTGCAAAAAAGCAGGGCAACTAGAGCAGTCATCATCTTGACAATCCCATGGAAAAGAATGCCACTGACAGAAAGAGCAGAGTTTATCTCACCCAATCAAATGATTAAAAAGGCATACAGACTGAATTAAGTTATATCCTATTAATTAATTCCATAATTAATGGAAAGGTTCTTTGGATTGTAACTCCATCTATCCTACAGACTTCTCAATCAGCCTGTGGTGATGACTCTCTCTCGCTCCTGACCACAGAAGCTTTCACTAGATGCTTTTAGAAAGGTAAAGTGAGTTTGAAAATCCCTAAGAAGGGTTTTCAAGACTGAGCGTTAAATACAAAACATACATTACAAGGCATTAACAATCAGTAAATGATTAAATTATTGACATCTCACTATGCAAGTCATTCAAACATTCAACACAACAAATAATAAAAACAATGGTAACTACAAATACGTGGTTGTCCTCCATAAAACTGATGGTACCCAGTCCAGTCAGGACTGGACTGGACACCAAACATCTAAGCCTTAGCTTTCTGGAATGTAAAAAATTAAAAAGAGCTTTGTGCAATTTATTTTGAGTTAGTCTGCAAGATACTGTCTCACAGACATAAATGATTGAGTCTAACATTCGGACACATAATTAATTTTATAAAGTCTTGAGTTCTGGCATGTCCCATGTATGTCAGACAGCAATGGGAACTAAGCACTTCTGCAAAGTGGGCTGGTTTGTCTGGATGCCTAAATATTCCCCAATTTAAACATTCTGACACAGAAGGATCACACTGTGTTCACCTAGCCTGACTTTTCATACAACAGAACCCATAGAAGCTTGACATACAGTCCAAAAGCTGGCTTTGAACAAGAACTGTAGATGATGAATTCTGCTGCTAAAACAAACCTCATGTGTTCAACTGCAGAATCAGGAGTTGTTCCATGCATTATGTTTTCAGAATATGAGAGGATCTTCAAGGGGTGTTTTAATAAGGGCTATCCATTTCTGTCATCATCATGCTGTACTGAAGAAATGTGAAGCCAGCCAAAGAATTAGCACTTCTTTTATCTCTTTTTTGGACCAGTCAGCTTACTAGCTTATAAAATGGCCAAACCTCTCCTGACCTCTGATCACAGAGACATTCATAACCTATATATGGGAATAAATGAAAATATTCTACTTTCTCACCAGTTTGTAAAACCAACATGGCTAAATTATCCAAAAGCATTTCAATTTCTAGGTCTCAGAATGCTTGAAAGTATTTTAAGACACTAAATCCTCTCCTGAAAAACAGGAGAAAATGGAAATATTCTGGCAATTTTTAAAATCTGAACCAATGAAGTTTTGTGCACAGGTAGTTAATAACAGTGTTGGATCTGATGCTGCTTTGAGACAGGAGTAAAACATTCTCAAACTGTGGGATAGAGGAGGAAATGGCAATCACATAGGTCACATCTTTGGTGGTGACCAAAACATGGAGTTGGCTGAATTCCAGCAGTGTTCTAAGGAAACAGAATGCCACTGGATAGATGAGAGATGGCACTGGAGATCAAATATTAATAGACAAAGCTAGTGCTGTCAAATGAAAAATAAAATTCCTAGGAAATAATATCTATTTCTGAGCCAGCCAAAGCAGATACAATTCAGTTATAGGCCTGCAGAGCTCTGCCTTCTTCAATTAAATACTGAATGCAGCTCATGCAAGATCTTCCTTTCCTTGACAAGATGAAAGGGTTGATAATGAAAGGGACAATCCAAAAAATTTGCTGCTCCCATCCTACTCTGCTGGGAAAAGGTGTCTTTGTGAAGTTTCATGACTAGCAACCCAATCATCCACTCCTGTGGTGCAGCTGGCAAAAGTTGTGCATCTACATCATTGTTGAGCTCATATCCTGACACTGGCTTGTCTTCTCAATTCAGCTCCAAACTGATGAATTAAACACCTGGTTTTCAGAAGGACACACTTTGAATGCATCTTCAAAAATCAACTAGGAAAAAAAAAAGAGATAGGAAAGACAATTGGAACAAGTCCAGAGGAGAGTCACTAAACTGCTCTCAGGGCTGGAGCAACTCTCCTGTGAAGACAAGCTGAGAGAATCAGGGCTGTTCAGCCTGGATGAGAGAAGCATTTGGGGAAGCTTTACAGTATCCAAAGGGGCTGCAACAGATGGAGAAGGTATTCTCACAAGGGCATGGAGTGACAGGACAAGGGGGAATGGCCTTAAGCTGAAAGAGGGCACGTTTAGATTGGATATTAGGAAGAATTCTTTACTGTGAGGGTGGTCCAGGCTCTGGCACAGGTTGCTCAGAGAAGCTGTGGTTGCCCCATCCCTGGAAATGTTCGAAGCCAGGCTGGATGGGGCTTTGAACAACCAAGTATAGTGAAAGGTGTCCCTACCCATGGCAGGGGAATTAGAACTGGATGATCTTTAAGGTCCTTTCCAATCCAAACCATTCTGTGAGTCCATAATGAGTAATTCCATAGGTATGTAATTAATTTCCCATTGTGTTCTGCTTCTAATGTGGCAACTCTATGACTTCAGTGCTCACAATTATTACCTATAAATGAAGCTGTTTGCCAAAAGCCCTGCTCTATGTCAGAAGGCAGGATGTGGAGAGCAGCCCTTGCTACTCTAACTGCTGGTGCTTCAGGTGACCAAGGTGGCTCATTGGATTTAGAAGATTTCACAAAGCACTAAGTGCAAGAGCTGGATTTGGCAGGGTATCTGTGGCAACAGGACTTCTACCAAACACACTATACGAATATCTCAGTATGTCAAGACTTCTATCTTCTAGCCCAGAATGCAGTTCTTGTTAGCAGGCCACAGCAGATAGCACAGGGCAATCAGAGCTTCTGCATTACCTTGCAGTACCTGCAGTGGATGGAGGCCAGGGATGACAATACCAGCGGCTCTCAGTGCAGAACCCGACAGATCCAATGCTACTGGGACTCTGAGCTCTCCATGCCCAGTTCAGTCATACAATGGGAACAGTGAGTACTGTCCTGCTCCCCTTCTCCCATCTTCCTGGCTCCTCTGTCATACCTCCTGTTCTTGGTGCCATCTGCTTATAGCTCTGGGTGGTTTGTGTGTTTTTTTCAGTAAATAATGAGAACTGAAGTGGAATTCACACACGTAGCAAACTGAGATTAGTCACAGAGATACTTAGGACAGCAAAGACAATAAAAGCAGTACTTCAAAAGGAAATGTCTCTGAAGGTTTGGGTACTGTGCAAGAAAGGGAACCAGGAAGGCAGGATTAAGCTAAACCGGATGACCAGCAAGGTTCAAGAGTCTATTTCAACCAAACAGGAATCCTTCAAATTTTGGAAACATGATCCTAGGGAAACCAATAAACAGGAACTTCAACTTCAGCAGGCGTTAAGTAAGAGGAAATTGCAAAGAGCAGAAGTAGGTTTCCAAGAACAAACATTAAAGGATTTAAAAATAAACAATAAAATATTCCTTAGGTATATCAGTCACAAGAGACTACAACAGAATTTGTACAAGCTAAGAGAGCAGCTAAAGAAGATAACGATGCTGTTTGGAAGATAAATTACTTTCCTTTATGGCATCTAACTTTCTTGTTCAATACACTCAGGAGGTTTCTGCTCTCTATATTCTTTTTCTGGAAATAACAATTTCTCTTTGAGTAGTGAGATATTGAGAAGTAGTAACAGTGGAGAGAGAACACAGAACACATCGGGTAGAGAAGATCTACTTAAAGGTTTGAAAGAACTCTTAATAGAGAATTGCTGAGTTAATAACAATATTGCTACACAAGAATCACCCTGTTCTATGGCTTTGGGAGTAGAAAATACTATCTAATTGCTACTGATTTTACGAAGAAAAATAGGATATTACTGATCTTTAAATTCTTCAGTATGCACAACCAGATGACAAAAATTACAGGTCTTTTAAAAACTCTCTCACATATGATACAACAAACTTTGGCTGGAATTAATGATTTTTAAAATGAAAGGCTGTAATATGATAAGGAGTTTGGAAGCAAATAAAAAAAAATAGGCTTAGATAATTTGGTCATCATAACAATAAAGAACGTCTAGATTAATCACAAATTTAAAATAATAAATTTATAATAATACAATTAAAATAAATAGTAAAAAATAATACAATTTGAAATTTTGTTTTAAAATCTCTAAATAATCACTGAACATGCCTGGCAAATTGATCATTTCTACTATGGATTAAATCACTACTCACTATTTTCAGTGATAAAACCTTCAGATCTTAATCTGAATTAAATTCCTAAATTGAGGTGGAATGAATCCTGGCCTAATATTCTTGCCTAGCTTGTTATTAAAACAAATGGGTACCTTATTTCTTAATGATCTAGTAAATGGATAAGTACTTTATTGACAGCTTTTACACAGGACACAATGTTAATCAGTTTGTGAGGAACAGGCAGTGAGAATGTGAGAGAGCCAATGAGAAGAGAGAAAAAAATCAATGCACTAATGAAGTTCAAATTAAAGAAATCAAGATACATGCAGAAAAAAAAAAAAAGAGTAGTTTTTTTCCATTACAAGGTTATAAATCAATGCAAAGTGTAATCAGAATCCTGGTGTTCACTATCTGCATTAACTCTAAAGTCCAATCAGATCAAATACCAAGTTTCACAAATAGTAAGAGGAGGATGATACAAAATTCTGCAGTACCACTACAGAAATCACACCATGTGACCACACCTGAAAAACCCTATATTCTGTATGCTGACAGCCACAACCCCTGAGTGACACTGCAAAACTGAGAATGATGGGGAAAACAATCTAAGAAGTACAATTAAAGATCTGTTGCCATCACGTTCATAATAGTTTATGACATACTGTCTCTCCCTCTCTTAGAGCACAAGATATTTAAATACAAAACAATAAAAGGAAATACTTTTTAATGTCATATGCAATTAATTATGAACCTTGCTGCCACAGGAAACTGATCCACACACATATTTGACACATTCACTTTAAATGTGTTGCCCTGAGCTCCTCTAAATTTAAACACAACTAATAAAATTACTTTTAGGGTAAATCTCTACAAAGGCCAGAGACCTTATACTTACATCAACATAACCTTTTAGGCATTCTCTACATCTGCTACTACTCTTTCTTGTTTTCCCGTGGACATGTCCAGTGGCTCATCTCTCTCTTGAATTTTACTGATGCAGAATTTCAGCTCATGCAGTGTGTCTCTCTCTTCAACAGCAGAGCTGCACCTCTTTCAGCCCTTGTGCCTCTTCATAGGTATGAGAATCATGCCTCATTTTACAACATGTTAACCCACATGAACTTGTGACCCACAATATGCCCATGATATTTTCTTGTGGAACTATTTCTTAACCAGTAATTTACCACCCTTGCAAGACATTTATGTACAGAACAACTTGGCTCTTTAAGGAATGATAGCATTCTCCTCTCCTTGCCCTCCAGCACTTCTCTTAGCTTGTGAAGGTCACTTTGATCCTGTCCCTCTCCAGCATTTCTGCAGCATATTCTTCTAGCATGGTGCTTTCTGTAACCTCAGCAAACACACACATTGTATCCCGCTAGTCACATCCCTAACAGCTACTGAATACAAAACGAATGAAGATAACATTGTTACAAAACCCTACTAGATACATCTTTCCAGTTCCAAAAATCTACCAGAATCCGATTTTCCAGGCAGTCATACATCAGTCTAGTAGGTGCTTCAGGTATGTTGCATTTCCCAGACTTTCTTAGAAGAACATAATGGGAGATACTGTAAACATTTTTATTAAGGTCAAAATATCCTAAATCCACAGCTTCCCTCTAATCCACATTACTGTAAGATGTTTAATGTCTGTGGAAAGCTGTATTTAAAGATATACCATTATAAAGCAGGAACAGTAACCTTCTCTCTTGCTGCTGTGGAATGTCAATCTGGGCTTCTTCAGAAAAGCTATTTTTCTCAAAAGCTAAGTCACAAGTTCAGGGAGAAATCTCTCTGCTATTTCCTAATGCTATACTCTGCTAACCTTGACATTTTTTGAATATTTAGTTCTTTCCTTTTCAAAAAAACTTGTTCTTTTTCCTTATTTCATGAATACCAAGCACTTTTTCTAAGGAAATAACTCAGAACTTACTTCTTTTGTGCGTAATTAGAAAGTCATTTCAAAAGGCTCTTGAGGACTGTTACTTTGAGCTTTTCAGCAGCTTTGAAAATAAGGTTGTGAACTGGATACAACCAGAAGCTGACACTTATAAAACGAATGGCCTCTGAAATCTTTCACTAGGTTTGAAGAGGAAGGCTGTCTTATGATATCACTTTCTCAGTGTTTGCTACCTGGTGTTACTGGAAAGATTTCCAACCTGTGCCAATGCTTGCTTTAGCAGGAAATCTATAGAGACTCCCAGAATCATTACCAAGAGTCTTGGAAAAAAATATTTATTGGCTTTTATTGTCATAATTTCAAGTAGAATATAAAATGCAATGTAGAGCCCACATGCTAAACTTCCTATGTGAAGCTGTTTCACCCAAACCTGCAGAACCAGTCACTGCACAAAATAAAGCACATCCAGAAACCTGCAGGAAGGACTATGGCTCAAAATGCAAACGCAGGAAATGCACATAATGGGCTGTGTGGAAGCTCTGCTGGAGCTGTGACCTCAGTGTCCATGCTGGATTAGGGTGAGTGTGTAGCCTCGGTCTGTTTGGCATCCACCACTATCTCTCACTACTCACTGAAGAGAGAAATATCCAGGGTTCAGTAAAAGTAAAAGAAGACTGAAATTAGTATTCTGAAAAATCATTACATGTGAAAGGTAACACTGTGGGACAAAAGGTCGAGAGGCCTGAAATTTTTCTGAACTATCACTGAAATCCTCTGAGACTCTGCAAATTAAAAAATCTCTATGTCTCAGTTTTCTCATTTTAAAAACATGCTTCAGGCTGCTATGACAATGAAGTGGGTTTTGTAGACTGTGTTAAAAATACTTGCAAGTGAAAAACATTTTGTAAAAATGTCTATTAATTAGTCCTTGAAAAATATATTTCTTTATCAATAATGAAATTTACAGAGCCAAATTTATCATGTTCCCTTAGAACTGCCCACTACTACCTTGAACGTTGCATTTTACAGCGATCAAGTAACAAAATCTTCACAGATATCCGATGAAGAAAACCTCAAAAACAGAACCAAGGGTTAGTATGAAAGTACCTAGAGTCAAAACATGCCTCTGTGCAAAAACTCTGCTTGCTGAATTTAAAATCTTTCTCTGAACTGGCTTAGTGAAGCCAATAAAAAAGGCTTGGAGGACCTCATACTGCAAGCCACACACTTGTGCATATGATGTGCTGTCTCTTTGCTTTCAGCAGGAATGTCTGAAATGAGAGTGTTAAATATATGCAGGATGAGAACTGTCCTGTGGTTTGAAACTGCTGTGTCTTCTGTTAGGGACTGACAGAAATAAGCTGGCATAAAATGAAGGTGTATGCAGTGGTTGCCTAAGCTTTATGAGAAGTTGTGCACTTGTAGAGCTTCCTCCCAAAAGCAAGCCAGTTCTACCCTCCTGAAGGAGGGACTTCACCAGTGAGAAACCATGAGAACATTCAGTGTCTGAAGAACCCCACCAGGGCACAGCTATGATGGGATGTGGAAATGACATCATTTACATTGGTTCTCTTGATGACTTGGATATTCAGACCCCAAAATGAGGAGAGTGTTCTCACAGACATGAGTGTGAGTGCTCCACAACTCCAGTCACAGACACACACAGTGGCTTGAAAGCTCTTTACTGTGCAAGGATGGTTTGCAGTATCAGGGCTGGAGGGAAATCCTAAATCCTGTCTCGCAGGAATATCACTTATGAAGCCATCTCCTTACCCACTGAGGGTCATAAACTGCAGTTCTCTCCTGAAAACCCTTTGGAAGAAAGGAATAAAAAATATTTTTTCTAATTCTTTGCCTGGAAGGCAAACATTCAGTGCCTTTGCACTCTCAATTCCTATCTAGGAAACAGGCTCCTAACAATTTGGCTTTGAACCAGCCGAGGATTTCTAGGAAAAGAACATGTAGAAGCTCTTTAGATTTTCCTGTAAACATCTTTTTTGCTTATTCCACATGCTGATCTGGTTTAACAGTCTAAAGGAAATTTGACTGGGCTTTATTCTTAATTTTCATGGTATAATCCCATTACTTCAAATCTGTATATGCAAATCTA